TTGAGGTGGTGTGTCAGACGTGGACGGAGAGGGAGGTGTGTGTGCCGCAACGCCAAAGGGAGGAGGGGAGGGAGTGCGGGTGAAGACAAACAAGTTGGACTAGTGGACCCCAATAGATACAGGCGTGACTGGCCTGGTCGTGAGATACGTTCCAAATCACAGCGTTGCCATGGAGATGTGTAAACTGATGATTACCAACACTCAGACATTGGTATTAACTGTCAACACTCATGTTCATGATTCTACGAACCACACATAGAACACTCACTAATGGGGGCAGCTCGTTGTCTTCTCAACTCATTCATGGATGTCATGTTCAGATGTGTGTGATTTTGTTTAAAACACGAAAATTGGAAGATCATATATATAATATGCGATTTTTTATGCACCATCACTGAAAAGGCGTGGTTTATCAGTTGTGATTTACCCTCGCGCGCCATGCGCAGCGAGGTACTGTAGTTGGGTTTGTCTGTCTGTGCTGTGTGTCTGTTACTCTCAATCTCACTTCTTGAAGCCTGCTCGTCTCACAACGATACACCTACTTAACGGGCAATGAAGGTCAGAAATCGAAACGGTTTCTCTCTGAAAATGCTCCGTTGCTAAGCTAGAGCGCTTCCAGCATTGTAAGGCAAATGCCGGTGTCGCATTTATCGCTGGCGGTTAAAGCGCATGCGCTTATATTTAGCACAGGCTTACCTACCTCGACCGGTCCGCTTTGCTCTGTCTATCTTGAAGGCACAAGAAGTCACAACGAATGGCGTGTATCAGACTATCGCGTGCTATCTACAACTGTAGCTAGCCCGTGTCAGACTCTCTGCGAGCTACTTCGCCGAGGTTTTGCACTTTAGTGCTTTTCATTACGTCATCTGGAGAGATGGTGGCCCAGTGTTTTTGCACAAGTAATTGCGCACTGCACAGCATCCAAGATGTCTTCTCGTACTGAGGAGATGAGGGCTGGCCATTTTATTTTTCTTTTTTTCTAAGGTCTGGACAGATGTATGTAAATAGGGCTGCTGGAGAGATGAAGGGCTGGGCGTTTTTTTTCTCAACCTAAGTTTTTTTTGCACTAAACAATCCACGGGTAATACGAAAATTAATAGAGAGATAAAAGGTTGGCCATTTTTCAACCTTATATATTTTTACCCTCAAACAGAAATGGGGCTGGGCATTTTTTCATGGAAATGGGTGCATATAACATGCTGTTCTTTTTGATGCATGGTCAAGACCATCAATTGTGGTGGTGGCACACTTGTGTATGGGTTCCACATTTCTATATAGTGTGCCGAGGGTTTGCACTTTAGTGCTTTTCATTTGGACGTTTTTACTGTGAAACAATCTGTGTTCTCTGCAAAATTCTCATTTGCAAATCGCATGTATATACACTTCCTCCTAAAAAATATTCCAGTATAAATTATGTACAATGTGTGTGTAAGTGTCATGTAGTGTTCTAGTCCCATCTGCTCTTGCGTTTCTTCTTGACTGGGGGTGGGGCAGTAGGCGGGGTCATCTGAGATTGGTGGGCGGGGCCAGATGAAGTGGGTGGAGTCACAGAGGATAGGTGGGCGGGGCCTGAAGACGGTGGGGCCGAGAGAGAGGAAGTGGAGGATGAGAGAGTGGAACCAGTTGTAAACCTGCTGCGGTACTGGGCCTGAGAGGGGGAGAAAGCAAAAGGACTGGGAATTTTTGCGAACACAAAGGAAAAAACAAACGGCAGGTAAGAGAATTAATTAGCAGACAGGAGAGGTGGTATTGTGTCAGCACACTCAAACAGCCAGAGAATGTAAGGGTCTGACCTTCATGGCTTCCTTCAACATGGCGGTTCTGCTCTTATCCAGAGTGCCGCCAGTAGGAGGAGGGAGGGGAGGAGTTGGAGCACTGGAGACTGTGGACAAGGTCTGGAGGAGAGAGGGAGTGTCATTCCATTCGCTCATTCTAATTATTACGTGAAAAACGGTGTGCTTCAGCAAGAGAAAAGGGAGGGAGAAAAAGGTCCACTTGCCTCAGCCGTGGCTCCAAGACCAGGCCTCAGAGGTCTTGGCCTTCTGCTCTCACCTCCTCCTCCTCCCTTCCCCCCTCCCCCTCCCCTCCCTCCCCCTCTTCCTCCTCGTCTGAACGATCTGCTCTTCTTGAATCGAGGGTTCTGCATTGCCAGCTGCAGCAGCTGTTCCGACACATACTGTCCTGCTGTTTCCTGGGCAACAAGCAGACTACAGCATGAAAATTTAACTCTTTGGTGCAACAGTTTGATAACAGTTTGGGACCCCTGAAAGAACATTCCTGAAATACAGTATAAAGGAATATGGAGCACTTTTCTTTCCTCAACAACAGTTCTTGTATACAAGGATACCTCAATTACATGGACACACTTGTTGGTGTCGAAGTTCCACTGTACATAAAACGTTCCTCAAACAAGGCAGGAAATTGAGGGGTCTAATGAGGGAGTAAATTTGAGGGGTCTAATGAGGTGGTAAATTTGAGGGGTCTAATGAGGGAGTAAATTTGAGGGGTCTAATGAGGCGGTAAATTGAGGGGTCTAATGAGGGAGTAAATTGAGGGGTCTAATGAGGCGGTAAATTGAGGGGTCTAATGAGGGAGTAAATTTGAGGGGTCTAATGAGGCGGTAAAATTGAGGGGTCTAACGAGGCGGTAAATTGAGGGGTCTAATGGGGAGTAAATTTGAGGGGTCTAATGAGGCGGTAAATTTGAGGGGTCTAACGAGGGAGTAAATTGAGGGGTCTCATGAGGGGGTATATTTGAGGGGTCTAATGAGGGAGTAAATTGAGGGGTCTCATGAGGGTGTATATTTGAGGGGTCTAATGAGGGAGTAAATTGAGGGGTTTAATGAGGGAGTAAATTTGAGGGCCCTAATGAGGGGGTAAATTTGAGGGGTCTAATGAGGGGGTAAATTTGAGGGGTCTAATGAGGGAGTAAATTTGAGGGGTCTAACGAGGGAGTAAATTTGAGGGGTCTAACGAGGCAGTAAATTGAGGGGTCTAATGAGGCAGTAAATTGAGGGGTCTAATGAGGGAGTAAATTTGAGGGGACTAATGAGGGAGTAAATTTGAGGGGTCTAACGAGGGAGTAAATTTGAGGGGTCTAACGAGGCAGTAAATTTGAGGGGTCTAACGAGGCAGTAAATTGAGGGGTCTAATGAGGCAGTAAATTGAGGGGTCTAATGAGGGAGTAAATTTGAGGGGACTAATGAGGGAGTAAATTTGAGGGGTCTAACGAGGGAGTAAATTTGAGGGGTCTCATGAGGAACTAAATTTGAGGGGTCTAATGAGGCAGTAAATTGAGGGGTCTAATGAGGGAGTAAATTTGAGGGGTCTAATGGTAAATGTGAGGGGTCTAATGAGGCAGTAAATTGAGGGGTCTAATGAGGGAGTAAATTTGAGGGGTCCTCGTACCAGATTTCTAACGAGGTCCCCGGCAAAGTTGACATCCCCGGGGGTCAGGAGGGTGAAGGCGGTCCCCTTCTCCCCTGCTCTGCCCGTGCGACCGATGCGGTGGACGTGGGTGTCGATGTTCCTGGCCACGTCGAAATTGACGACAGTTTTTATCAACGGAATGTCCAGCCCTCTCGCTGTGGGAGAGAGAGAACACTATTTCTGTCAATGTATGGGCATAATGGGAACACACAGATGATGCACATTTCATGAACCAATTGAGGAATGACCTGCAATATCGGTTGCCACGAGAATAGGAAACTCTTTTCTCCTGAAGGCAGTGATTACGTCGTCACGACCACCCTGTGTCATGTCGCCGTGCAACAACCCCAATTGATGCCCCTCACTCTCCAGAGATGATGCAATCTCGTCTGCATTGACTTTCCTAGTCACAAACACCAGCACGCTGCCAGCTGGGGCAAAAACAGGTCGTCCAATCCTGAAACCGGACAACCCGATTTCCAAACCTAACCGGAAGTGAACTCGACGAGGTGTTTGAGAAGCCACGCCCACTTGTCTTGGTCGGAGTTCATGACCTCTGTTACCTGGGTGATGTCTTCGTTAGCCTCGCCGACTCCGCCCACCACGATGCGGACAGGATCAGCGAGAACGTCGCGACACAGTTTCTCCACCTTCTTCCTGAATGTGGCACTGAACAACATGGCTGAGAGGGAGGGAGGGAGGGAGGGGAGGGAGGGAGGGATGGGAGAGAGGTACCGTTTGAAAATTTGTTCTATATATCTCCGAGTGTGTGAAGTACTGTTGAAAATGGTGTAAAAATTAGGGGCACAGCCAATTTCAGTCAGTAGAAAACATGATTTAGTGACATAGATAAAGAGAAAGGTGTGTACACATGTGTCTTACTCTGTCTGTCAGGTCTGACATGGTTAGCAATGGACCGCACTTGAGCCTCTGGAGAGAGGGAGAAAACAGACTAAGTATCTCTCCATTGCTCAGTGTGTAAAAGACCGAGATCTCCCACTATCTACACGTGTCCTCACCAAAGCCCATGTCAAACATGCGATCTGCCTCATCAAACACCAAGTATGTCACTCTCTGCAGATTAGTCGCCTTCCCCCTCACCAGGTCAATCAGACGACCCTGTGTGAGGGGTGTGGCTTAGCTATGACGTCATAGTGGGTGTGGCCAACTCACGGGGGTGGCCACGAGGATTTCGCAACCCTCCTTGAGGGCGTTGCTCTGTTCCCACTTGCTGCCTCCTCCATACACACATGTGACTGTCAGGTTGTAGGACTTGCCAAACTTACGAGCCTCGTGGTAGATCTGGTGAGGTCACATGACATGAGAGTGGGGATCACATGATGTCATGTGACCCTCTCACCTGCTGACACAGCTCCCGGGTAGGTGCACAGACCAGTGCAATCGGTCCGTCTCCCTCCTTGATCTCCGGCTGAGGGATCACATGATGTCACATGACTAGTCACATGACAGACTGACCTACCTGGTCGATGCAGTGGACAATCATAGGGAGGAGGAAGGCAGCTGTCTTCCCTGAGCCTGTCTTGGCTATTCCGATGATGTCACGACCTCCCAGACCAGCTGGGATCGCCTGAAGCAGTCAAAATTAACATTTGACTTTGACATGTACGAATGAAATCCTTAAATGTAGGCAACGATTGAGTGTTTTTGAAGCGCATACAAAAAAATAGTATACACTCAAATATTGTTGATGGTTCCTCAATCAAAACAGCATTGGATGTAGTCAGATCACGTGACCAGTTGGCTGATTCACATGACAGTCAGCTGACCTGAGCCTGAATCCCAGTGGGTTGGCTGTACTCCATCTTCCTAATGATATCCATGACACTGTTGTCAAAGTTGAAATGAGCAAACGAGACACAAGGTTTTGGAGGATGATAACCCGTGACCTTTAACCCCAGCTTCGACCGCAGTTCCTTGACCTCCGCAGAAGTCAAAGTTGAGATCTCGTTGTGTTCAGAATAGAAATCTCTGGTGAACGACGGATATTCAATCTGAGAGAGAGGGAGAGAGAGAGAGAGAGAGAGGGAGAGAGAGGGAGAGAGAGAGAGAGAGAGAGAGAGGGAGAGAGAGAGAGAGAGAGAGAGGGAGAGAGAGAGAGAGAGAGCCTCCATAATTCCATAAGTATAAGCGAAAACGTCGAAATAATGAAATGCTTGCTTCGCTCACCAAAAGCATACATTCTAGTACGTAACTGAGAGAGAGGGGAATAGGATGATGTCATAGGGGAATAGGATGATGTCATACCTCAGAGTGGTCCACTGGAGGGAGAGGGTCTACCACCTGTATGTACATACAGTACATCAGACTAACGTTAACGAGGTGGGCGGAGTCTGGGACCAACCTTTGCCCTGTCAGGTATGATGGGATATCCGTCCGAATCATAATCCAGTTCTATGTCCTCGTCGCCCTCGGCAACCACGATGGGAGCATTCGCCATTGCCTTGAAATATGTCTCCTGTAACAAAGGAAAACAGGAGAGAGAGAAGAAAGTAAAACTTGCAAAATGACACAGTTTTTCACCTGGTCATCTTCCTCCTCGATGTCATCCCTCACAGCTCTGTAGAGAACAAGCATGTACATACATACAGTGATCAGCAGAGTGACAGTGGAGAGAGAGACTTACTTCTTGTCTGCAGACCTTTCAGCAGTCTTCTCTTTCTGTTTCACAATCTCAGTCTGTGGGGCAAAGAACACACCAGACAGACAGACAGACAGACAGTGAGAGAGGGAGAGCTTTCAGGTATTTCGCAATTTTTTGAACAGTCTCCAAAACCTGTTGAAGAGTATGTTGGTAGTAGCGTGTTCGTGTAGCTCTTAAAATTCCAGTAAAGTTGTTGTTTGTTTTCTGTCAGTGTTTCACTAGTATTGAGAGAAGGGAGGTCACCTCGATGCCAGCCATGAAAGCGTCCAAAGGATCATAATCCTCTCCCTCCTCCCCTCCAGTGGGCGGAGCCTCGCTGCTGTCAGTCCAGTGGAACTCTTTGGCAATCCTTGCTCTGACTGCTTCCTCACCCTCCCCCTCTGGCCCTCCCTCCTCCTCCTCCTCCTCCTCCTCCTCTCACTGTTGTCATTGAAATACCTGTACAACCACAGAGAACACACACCTGTATATAGCACCACTCACACCATGACCTCCTGACACACACACCATGACCTCCTGACACACACTCTACACCGAGGGGGAGAGCTCCTTCCCTTTAACAAACCAGCATACTAACAAAATACGGCCACATTCCCTTTAACAAACCTGCCGGACTTGTTGGATTGTATCTACCACCGCCCTCCCCCCACTAGAAAACTTTCTAGAAAGATCTCTTACTCTTCCTCTGTCTTCTCCTTGGTCCAGGCCCGCCCCAGCTTGCTGACTGGCGCTGGCTTCTGCACAGAGAACCCTTCGAACCCAAACCCTATCTTCCTTCCTCTCTGGGACATGGCCGTCGGCTTCTCTCCTCTCTCTGCTGCTGCCTTGTGTTACTGCGCACTAAATAGAATAAAGCGCTGCAACTTTGGATCGTGGAGTGCAAAGGTTGCACGTGAGGGATTTCCACAGTTTCAGTTGAAAGGCTCTGAAGCCGCGAAGCCGCGAAGCCCTGGAGAAATGGCGGGAGGCAGGAGGAGCGTGCTGGTGGTAGTGTGTGTGGTTCTTCTGGCAACAGGCGGGGTGTGTGAGGTCCTGGAGTTGACCGACAGCAGCTTCCAGAGCACCGTGAACGAGGCAGAGTTGGCTGCAGTCTTATTCCACGCTCCATGGTCAGCCAGGAGGAGACTGCATTACACTAATGCCACCTCCTCTACTTCACTGAAGAGCTTACTGTAGAGGAGTCTTGGTTTTGCCTCATACTATTAGTGCAGTAGTGCACTGAATAAAGAACACTTTCAATGTCAAAATTTTCATTCTGTCGTACAGGTGTCCTCATTGCCATAGCTACCTCTCTGATGTGTTCTCGCCTGCCGCCACCCTCCTGGGGTCAGAGGACATCACCATGGCGACGCTAGACATCGATGCAGCCAAAGAGGTGCAAACCAAGTCAGTCACGGAAAGTTTGGGAGAGAGAATATGGGAGGGAGAAAGGGGGGAGAAGGAGAGAGTGGAACCCTAGTAAAATGATGCCTTTTCATTAGCTGTTTCTCTTCCCAAGAACTGTTCTTGGATGCAGTTTTAATCCTGGAAATAATGACACTTCACTAATATGGACACTTCTTTTTTCCCATTGGTGTCTGGATTAGAGAGGTTCTCTCGCTCTCTCTCTCTCTCTCCAGGTATGTTATTCAGCAGGTACCAAGTATTCGACTCTTCAGAAAAGGTCAAATGTTTCCCTACGAAGGTCCTAGGCAGCAAGTGGGTGTGGCAGGTAAGTGGCTCCGCCCACTAAATACCCTTCTTTGCCATGGTAACCTCTATTTCGGCAGATCTCGTGATGTATTTGAGGGAAGAGAGAGACAAACAGGGGCTGGAGGAAAACCCTGTCATTACCCTCACCAACGACAATTTCGATGACATCACGACATCAGAGCTAATTCTAGTCGAGTTCTACACTGACCTGTAAGTCAGTGTACATGCCTTTCCTTTCACTGTATGTTACCCCTTCAATAAACTTGGTTCTGCCCCTGACTGAATTACATTGCCCCAAGTTGTCACCGGTGTCACTGCCACCTACCATATTAGGTGTGTCCCATGCCAACGTCTGGAGCCAATATTTGCTGACGCAGCTCGCCAGCTACAGCGCGAGACTCCGCCCATCCGACTAGGGCGTGTCCAGATTCCAGACCAGATGAAGGTCGCGGAACGGTTCCCGTTGGAGGGGTACCCCCTGCTAATTTTCTTCAGACGTGGAACTCAGTACAACTACACTGGGCCGAAGGAGACCGCCTCTGGTATGCGTGGAATGTCGTTAGTGTTACGATAATGTCATTACCATTCCAACGAACAGGGATTGTGGAGTACATGAGGCAACAGGCTGGGCCCAGTTCCATTCCTCTGGAACAGACTGTGGACGTGAAGAGGTTCATAAACAGGAGAGCGATATCGGTGGTTGGATATTTTCATGAAGACACTGGTAAATATACATTTAAAGTAACAAGAATTTCTCAAGAGCGAGAATCATTGCAATAAGTACCTCTGAAGGCTCGATACTGATGTTAGCAAAGCAGCATTGATGAGCGAATATGAGTGTAAAATTTTCAGTTGTTTTTTCGCGAATTGTGTACAAGTATCTCGCTATGGACAGTGTTGTTGGCTTGGTAAGTATGTGATTGTGATTCCTGGCTGCTGTGTCCAGATTCCGTTCTGTTGAGGGAGTTTCGGGAGTCTGGGAACCTGGTGAGGACAGAGATGGAGCTAGGCCACACCCACCAGAGAGGCGTGGCAGGAGGGATGGGTCAGGACCCAGACACCATTGTCATCTACCATCCAGTGTACGTGGTGTTTTTGAGGGTCTGAATTATAGTTGGAAGTCTGGAAGAGGAACGTTTTGCCTGACTAGTAATGTGGACCAAATATTGCTGTTTGTTGATAAGAGTATTGTCATAACCTAATTACCTGCATACTTGGTGTAAAATTGACAGAGCAGTGCATTAGGCTTGCCTGTTGGATTCATATTACATTATGTATTTCCACTGGCATTATAATGTTCTCATATCTCCAGCCACCTAGTGTCTCCCTGGGAAACCGGTCACTCAGTCATATCCTCTCCTCCTTCCAACGCCAGCCAGCTACGACAACTCTATTTAGAGCACGCCCGTCCACTTGTCGGTCAGATGACGACAGGTAACCACGACAACCTGTACAGTCACAGACCTCTGCTGGTGGCCTACTATGACATTGACTGGAGCAGTGATGGGTTTAAAGGTCAGCTGGAATTGTACTACTGTATGGCGGAAATATTTAGAGGGAATTTATATTATATGAATTTTGCAATTTACTAGCCGCCTGTGGCTTTTTCAGTCAAATTCTGAGCATTCAGCTAAAAGTGTTTCTCAAAATTAACGTTTGCTACTGAAGAGTGAAAATGTTTCGCATCAGAGGTCCTCCACTACTGTGTCTATTGATTGGGTCCTCTGCTGCAGCGACTCAGTACTGGCATGATCTGGTGGCATCGGCAGCTCGTGACTTCATCACGTCTGGTGTCGTGTTTGCCATCGCTAATGAAGAGGATTTCCTCGATGATCTCAGGTAATTGGATATCACCTCGCAAACTCTTGAAATGCCATAGATTAGATTCCATAGCTACACAGTTATGCACTCTAAATGAGTTAGAAATTGCTAGTTTTAGGAGTGTACTAGATTTGACATGATTACATAATTGGACACTGCGGTAGATTTGAATTGACCAATCAGAATGTTCTCTATAAAGAATGTGGGTGAGAACTCGCTCCTGCACAATTTTCTGTAGGTAATTCTGCCCTCTTCAAACTCAATGATATCATCTTGTATATGGATTAACCCTTCCCTCCCAGGGGTGTGGGTCTGTCGGACTGGGGAGAGGATGTGGCTGTGACCCTGTATGCTCCTGGACCTCTCAAATATGCCATGACAGAGGAGCTCTCTCGGGAGTCCCTCACCTCCTTCATTCAGGTTGATCCAACACACACACCACATACAACTTTGTGTTACTGTATGTGAGACATCAAAGTCTTCAATGTATGGCATTATTGCATGGATCATTATAGTACGCTGGCATTGAAGTTGCACTCGCACACAAAGTTGCGTCATGTACGTTGGCGCTAACAGATGGGCGTGGTCTAATTCTGCTGGCCACACCCCCCAGGACTATCTGGATGGAGAGTTGGTCCCACACTTTAGCTCGGAGCCAGTCCCAAAACCTGTGAAGGGGGCTCTAATTAGGAAGGTCGTTGGCTCCAACTACTTGAGTGAAGTTGGGAACACAAAGAAGTGAGTTACGTAATGTAGCCTCTCTCTTCTTCCTCATTTCTCTGTCTCTCTGTTATTTCGCCTTTTTTCGTAGTGTGTTGTGTACAAAGTTCATGGTAGCAATGATCTCCAGGGATGTGATGGTGATGCTCTGCCGACCCTCGCTCCCAGACTGCAGAGAGGCGGCAGAGTTCTACAAGAAGCTGGCCTCTCAGTTCCACGGAGTCAAGAACCTCGTCTTCACGGAGATGAACGTTGCCCTGAACGACCCTCCAGTTGGAACGGACATCTCATCTCTCCCCTCCTTCCTATTCTCTCCTCGTGGCTCGCACGACATCGCACCCGTAACCCCACGCCCCAAGGATGATGCTGATCTTGCCTTCTTTCTCAAATACAAACAAAACATTAAGCCTCTGAAGTCAAAAAAGAAAGATGAACTGTAGGTGACTGGTATTAGCTCTCCCCACAGACTGAAGATTTTTGTTGGTCTGAAACATGAATCACTCATTAAAAAAATATCTGAGCATTGCTGCGAGCTTAATAATACGACCGAGAAACACGTCATAATATAATATACTATAGTTAAACCAAAAAACGGGCGAATTTTCAGAAATGGAGGTTAGACAGTTGCTTGTTTTTATTTTCTCTACCAGCTAATGACTAAAAACAGTGAATTGACTATGAACGAGGACAAAATTTTTTGGGAAATTTTGGCCGGAAAAATTAGCAGCGGATGGCTTTTACTATTTTTACTATTTTGGTAAAACAATTGCGCAAGTGCTGTGACATGCATGATCAACACCATAACGAGTTGTTGACCCATTGCGCAGTAGCAGCGCATGCAGCAGCGCATGCGCTATGCAGCAGTGTTGACAAAGACAGGAGTTGAAACCATCATGACATATGTAAATCTGGTGAGGTGACCTATGACCTCCGCCCAACGGGTGGGCGGAGTCACAGTGATGGACAGTACATGTGAGGGGAGGAGGGGGTGAGGGTTGCAGATCTATTATTAGTCGGACAGAGAGAGAGCATTGTAAGTGGTCCGTTGGTTGCTGACACAAACAGAAGGGACTTCTGAAGACAAAAAGCGAAGAGACAAAAAAACGGCAGAAAAATGCTTGTGTGAAAATGTTTTAGAGCTGACAGTCATCTGTGGAGGATACGTGACCTTTGAACCGTGTGCCCTCATTTCCCCACCCAGCTGTACGGAGGGAGAGAGAGAGAGAGAAAGGGAAGGGAGGGAGGAAGAATGCTGATCAGTTTATTTAGTTCACCACAACATTGGTCAAATGAAGGCATGCCATGCCGCCACTTCCTTCAACAATGCTCCCACAATAATTATTAACAGTACTCACAATACTAGCCTCGTTCATGCACCGAGGCAGTACCGCGCTATGCTTGCGCACCGAGCGAAATGCCAGCTACACATTTTCAGCAGAACACACACTGTGGGGACACAGACATGACGTACTTATTAGGGTAGTAGAGATGAATAGAGTGCTGGTCATCTTTCCCTAATGAGGGTGTGTGGTCTGCAGTGGCTTGAAACACTTGCATATGACCCTTGCCCTCGCTGTTCCCATTCTGTACCTCCGACACATGGTCCTACAGTGCAGTGAGAGAGAATGGAAGGTGAGGCCACACCCCTGCCACGCCCCCTACCTGCTGAGGGAGGTGGTGGGAGAAAGTCCAGCCGGCACCAGTCTGCTGAGCGTACTGAGTCACTGGTGCAGTGTGGGGTGCAAATTGGTAGGTGGCCCCCGTCGTATGAGACGCAGTGTAGCCGGCTGGCTGGTGTGGTGTGGCCGTGTTGTACGGTGAGGAGGTGGAGATGTGGAGATGGTTCAGATGTGAGGAGATGTTGGAGGCCACACCCTCCACACCACTGCTGGTTCCCAGAGCCGCCTGTGTCTGTGAGGGAAGGAGAGGGAGTTTGAAATTTGAACAGTGTTCGCTGTTGCTCTAGGTGGTCAGCTGGAGAGCCTCGGAATTACCTTCTACATTCCTTCCCCACCACATGCTGAAGCCCGGGCACTGCATTCCTCTCATTCCTAGCATTCCACAGGCTATGGAATTCCTGAAATTTGAATCACTGGAAGCCGCTCGCCACATGCATGATGCATACCAAACGGACACTGACATTTATGCGTGTCCTCATACACTCCTTACAGGTGAGAAAATATCCCCAGAAGGTGTAGCAAGTATTTACAAATGGTAGGGGTGTGTGCAATACTGAAGTTTCACAAAATGTGGGAACTGTGCGGGCTGTGTACAGGCGACTCTAGAGTTCCACTGTACTTACAGAAGGTTGTACATAGTATGTTGGCTGCCATGCTCCAGTGGACATAGTCTGTGAGACTGGGACCTGGAGAGAGTAGAGAGAGGGAGGGAGAGAGAGAGAAGGAGGGGGTGGATGGTAAGAAGGTAGAGAGAGAGAACTATCCACAGTGAGGTCACAAAGGCTTTACCTGATACCCAGACATTTGGTGGGTGGGGGTCTGCAGATACTGCAGTGTGGACACGCCATACATTATCAATACAACATCAGCAGAATCATCTACCTGTGAGGCCAACATGCCTTGCTGTACCACTCTTGACCCAACCAGTCCATTCTGAGCCAGCATGTGACTCCCATCATACATGTACTGAAGACGATACACTCAAAATACTAATGACAAACTGTTAATGTACACCTACCTCTATGTCTCTCCAGCGACCTGAAAACCGTAAGAGAGGGGTTAAACCTATAAAAGTCAGGTGACAGAAGGCTCCACCCACCTGTGACATACTGTCTCTTCTTGTTGGAGCTGCTGTCGGCAAACTTGACCATGAGAGGCTCCGAGGAGTCCTGCAGGGTGCTCCCGTTCAACATCTCTATCGTTTTCTCGCAGCTCTCCTTCGTGTCCAGCCTGCATGGCAAGGAACAGACCTAGCTGCCCCTTTTCATGAAAGAAATGCACCTTTTTTTCGACATGCAAAATTTTTTGCATGGAAAAATGGATTTTATGGACAAGCTATGCATTTGCTAGAAAAAGGCAAAACAGTTGGATACCCAGACCTGAAGGTGTGAAAATTTCTACCAAGTTCCTAGTGTGACCTCACCTGACAAATCCCACTCCTCTACTTGTGTTGTTCTGGTCTCTGAGGATCCTGGTGCTAATGATGGCTCCATATGGAGACACCAGACCCTCCAGTTCCTGGGGACAGAGAGGGAGACTATCATCTACCCCTCCCAAACCACTAGGACTAGGAGGACAAACGGACTGGGCCACTGCAAAGAGATGGAGAGGATTGTGGACATGTAGCTAGAGATACTGAGGGAGGAGACTGTACTGGCCTCAGATAGTCCACATACCCCAGAGGAAACCTTACAAACCTCTCACCCACTCAACAACAGCAAGTCACTGCTCACCGGGCACTTCCTACTAACCCTGGGCACAGATGTGCATGCAACTTACAACATGTGGGCCTTGGTTCACTGGCAGTAAAGCAGTCTAGACTGTAAAGGTGTGTATGTATAATACATGCAGCCTAGAGGAACATGAGGTTGACTCTTGAGCACACTGGACTCCAGAGAACATGTTTAGTCTTACAATACATAATATGCTGCTGGGGCTTGTGCATCACTCACCTTTTCATCAAAGGTCTTTGGGAGATTGGAGAAGTAGAGATTAGTGGGGTCTTGTTCTTGTTGCTGCACAGATAGGCGATGGGTAGGACACTGAGTAATACTGATAGCTTTCTTCCTGTTATGGGCTAAGTCTCAGAAAGAGGTGAGACACTACAGGCTGTGTGTGTGTGTGTGCGCATGCGTGTGTATGACTAGTATTATGTACCTGTGGTACCTTGGCAAACTGAGCCATCACTCCGGCAGCCATGAGACTGTGTACTGCCCTCATCGCATCCGCTGGGTTCTCAAAGTCAACAAATCCATATCCTGCAGGCCAGAAAGACACACACAGACAATTATATAACTGGCTACATCAATGGAGATCTACTCACCTTTGCAACAGTTGGTCTCCTTGTCTAGAATGGCTTTGGTCGAGACAATCTTCCCATACCTGCAGTGGGGGGAGCCCCTCCCCTCATTAAGTAATCATCCCTGGCTATTTTTAGAGCCTGCCCCCAGCAATCCCTACTAATGACAAATATTTCGCTTCCATATGTAAATACAGGGACTGCTGCAATGCATCCCCCCACTAATTGCTTCCATATTGCATGTCTGAGGCAAAGTGGAAGTGAATGTAAGAGAGCCAAGTCCCTTGTCAAATGTACACACACAACTTCACAAACAAAAACAGACAACAGTACTGCATCAAAGGCTGTACTCACACATACTTTGAACAAACCAACACTTTTCAGACAGACAGACTTACTGCTGGCACATGCGTGTGAGATCTTCATCGCAGCATTTCTCAGAGAGTCCGCGGATGTACAGATTGGTACTGCTGAGTTGGCTACCTCCTCCCTGCATACCTCCTCCCTGCATACCTCCTCCCTGCATACCTCCACTTCCAAGGTAGGTCTGGACATAAGTTAACAACAGCCAGTTATAAAAAGCTTTTCTTGAGTATTGGAACCCACTACAATCTGCACTCAATGAGAGTGTTCTACCTACTAAGCTACCAGAACTCAGCAGGGGCTCGAATCCGCAACACAACACAACACAACACAACAGAAGACCATGCAACACAAGACAAAGGCAAAGTGAAACTGAGAGGATACTGTATATACCTGAGGAGAGTAGAAGAGAGGTGTGGGCTGGTGGGTGGCAGGTAGGACATAGCGATAGTAGCCAAGGGGAGGAAGTCTGTGCTGCTGGGGTCTGGAGTGGTAGGACGAGGAGCGAGGCTGCAGGGAGAGATATTGGTCATTACTGGGGGACTCCTGTTCGTTAGCACTCACAAAACATTTACCATTGTATACAGCATTCATTGTGCCCTTACTCTACCTACTATATCGTCATATGGTAAGGCACATGTGAACTAAATTTTCCATGTTAGGCAGACAGAGATGTGCTCAGTGAGCAGTCGATCACGTACCTTGCTAGTGGCGCCAATAGCTGCTTTCGCAGACCCACCACTAACTATCAGGGACACTGAGGAAGATTGCTGCAGGCAGAGGAGAGAGGAAGAGGGTGGAGGTGGAGGTGTGTACATACACATATATACAGAGCTAAATAAGTTAAGAGTTTGGTATGTGTAACACTGAGCATCTGCGCCTGTGGCAGACAATGTTTGTACCACATTTTCTGGCTAGCAGGTGCATTCCTAGCAGGAAGAGGAGGTGGAGGGGATTACCTGCACAGTCTGATATATCACAACACACCCCTCATTACCTGGGCTATTGGATTTATCTCTCCCTTCTCCTCTCCCTCGACAAAGCTGGAGCCCCATTATCATGGTGTTGCTATCACTATCAGGCCTAAGGCTGGGATGTTGTATATACTCACATCACTTCTCCATCTCAGAGACCTCTTAGCCAACTCATCAGCGGCAGTCACTACACTAATTAGCGACACACGCACCTCTCCTCTCTCGCTCTCTCGGTCACCAACCTTCACTGCCGCGTCTTCGTGTGTAGAGTTGTTAATGCCGTCGAGCGGTGTCTTAACTGCGACAAAGTCGGCCTCGCCGCCGTCTCCCACGTCTCGCAGGTCGCCGTTCACCATTGGCTTGTTCCCGCTGACCCCCACACCGGGCGACTCCCGTCCAGCTCCCTCCATCTCCATCCCGTTCACCAGCACCGGCCCGTTCAGCGTCGACTCGCTCTCGCTCTTGTCGCTGCTCATCGTCCCCGCCGCTGCTGCGGAGAGAGTCGCTCTGTTTACTACGGCATACATTCCCGCGGCGACGGAGGACGGACGTTATCCCATAGCATTCGAGGCAGACACTCCCAACTACCGCTGCGCACACACACGACGTACCGTCCGCGCCGTCGCCGCGTAGGAGAGAGGGTATCTATCAAACTCACCTCGCTCGGCTTGCCACACAACTCTTCCAACGATCCGGAGACTGCGAACGACTAAAATAAAGGTAGGCGTGTACTGCTCCCGTCTCAGAAAATTAGTTTCTCACTTCCTGGTAAACTAAAAAACTGCTGACGACTTCCTCTATTTGTACTCCACTGCAGTAGAAACACAAATTTCTCTCGTTCTCACCCGGAACCAGCTGTACAAATCCCCAATAAAAACTGACTCCCAAACGCCCTCTCCGCCGCGACAAAGGGGGCGTTAACACATCTCCAGCGAATTTCGTAATTTGGTGAAGGAAACTGCGGGAGCTTGCACGAAGTCTCCTTCTCGCCAACCTCTCTTTCTCGACGACTGAGGAACAGCTGCAGGTGGCGGGAGATAAAGAAGAAGCGGCTGTTGCCGGTCTGCATGCGGTGTCCTCCCGCCAGCTGCAGCTACTGACCAATCAGATTCACGAGCTGTAAAGTTGGTCCCCACTTTGGAATGCCGAGAACGCGAGTTTCCATGGCTACTGGTAAACATATCACGAGATCCTCCCTTTTTCCGCTGCTACATTGCTAGCTCTGCAGAGCGCTAGCTAGCTTGTGCTCTGCAGCCTGCGTGTGTGTTGCGGCGATGGCTGGAGCTGTGTGCTTGCTCGTCTTCTGCACGTTGCTACTGAACACAGCTTCTCTGACTGCAGTGAGACCATCAGGTATATTATTACACTATTCAGTAGCTCCAGGCTGCTCTGATATCCACAGCAATTCCTTCCCGAATCCCTGCAGCCCCAGTGGTAAACCTGACTTGCGCGGGAAACTTCACTCTCTGGGAGCTAGCCTGCTACAGCTACTCTGGACCAGAAGTGAGACGCTCGTTCCATCAGGCCCAGCGACACTGCTCCAAACTGAGGGCCTCACTTGCGTCTCTGTTGAGCCCCGCAGAGGAGACGTTTGTGCTGGAATTGACCGAGAACGAGTCTAGCATTTGGATAGGGCTCACGAAGCAAGGCTCCGCTGACAGGTTTATGTGGACGGACGGCGCGGAGTTGAGCTCCCACGCTGGCTGGCGGGAAGGCGAGCCGGACACCGCCGGTCATCTTCACTGTGCAATGGCCGACAGAGGAGGCTGGGCTCTTGCAAGAGGCGGCTGCGCGTCTACAAAACTCCCTTTTGTCTGCAAGAAACAAGGTGATGACTTATCTTATGTGGTGCGTGTGCTTGGGAGAGAAAGCCATAACATTGGCTGATCAAAGAGAAGGGATAATAATTATGATTTCTGTGTTGTTTTCAAATCTCCATAGCAGCAGTTGTATAAACACGTGTGTGGGTTGGGTATGAATAATATAATTATGTAAACTCTTCAAAATTTGAACTCTGAATTCAATCCTCATGAATTCCACAGCGTGTCCAGAGGGCCTTGAATGGGGCGGCAAAGACTGTGACGTGATCTCTTCTCCTCATCCTCCCTCATTTTCCTATTACTGCTATCCTCCGATGACAACAACAGTTCTGCTAGTGTTGATGTGTGCTTTTTTATCTATATTATTGGTAGCTGCATACTGCGGCATGTCAGCCAGAGACCACACCCCTGGTTGCCACCAGAGACACTGTCACAATCACAAACTATCATCATCGTCGTCATTGTCCAATTCTGTTCAGGACTTGTGGTTGTCATGACAACCACTAGCGCTCATTTTCCACAAATTTTTGTACCAATCTAATTTCACATTGATCATGATAATAAGTGGTGATTAAAAATCTTAATGGCCATGAAATATGCCATAATGTTATGTACAAAGACGAAACGACCTATTTACAGTAGTCTACATACATGACGATGTACTGGTAAATGATGAGGTGCACATTAAACTTGCAGAATGATTGAACTAGGTTGTCATGGAGACAAACAGGCACACAAAAGGGTTAAATTCACTAGTGATAAGACTTGGGAATTGACCTTTGACCCCGATCACCGGTACCCTGAGGCACGTACTGGTGACCCCTGTCATAACGAGGAGCTCTGGAATTCCCATACTGGGCAGAAGTGGGCGGGGCATACGACCTTGAAAATTCCTTCTCCCTCAGCTCGTCCTGGTAGGGCAGCTGGTCCGACAGTCTTCTGTGGTGATAGCCACTAGCTCTGTGTGCTGCTCCGTAGCCCTCACCCACTGCAAGGTTGTAGCTTATCTTCCTCCTCGTACCTGTGGGGGAGGACGTGGAGGGAGGCTGGCGCATTGAGTGGTGCTGTAAGGAGCCCCTGTGCTCAGGAGAGGATATTGAATGGTGTATGGAGGAACGGTGTTCGGGGGAAGCGACTGGGACTGTGGTGGAGCGATGGAGAGGCTCGTGTGAGGGAGAGGAGTGGGAGTGGCGATGGTACGGGAGGGTCTGAGGATGCTGGTACGACGCGAGGAGCTCTTTCTGGTGGGCGATGAGAGGAGGAGGAGGATGGGAGGAGAGGAGCTGCGATCGAGACTGCCCCTCCCTTCTCTCGGAGCCACGCCCCCTCTGGTCCTTCCAGATGCTCCCGACGTGTTCCCTCCTTCCCTCCTCATGACCTCCGTACCTGGCGTGGGGATTGAGGTCCCCGTACACACCGAGACTGGCTTCACGAGCTCTGGTGGCCTGGAGACTTCCGCTGCTCCCCGCCCGGCCCCATTTGCTGGGCGGGGCCGGCTGAGAGGAAGGGGAAAGGAGGGAGCCAACAGTAGGATTGGCTGCCGGCAGTGTCTCTGCCCTGTTGTGTTGTTTGCGAGCCGTGAGAGAGGCGGAGAAGAGAGCCTCACCTCCAGAGTACGAGTTTCTCTCGGGGGTCTTCCTGGAGCCACTGGAGCCACTGCTGAACTGGTTCTTTATCCTGCGAACCATCTTTGGTGAGGCATTGAACAGAGCGTGGTCTGTACATCAGAGAGGGATTATAGATTAGCAAGATTATCACAGTATAGTTTATTGGCTGGTGCAGATCAGATAGCTGTACAATTGCTAAAAACTTAGAGCCTGACCCTTTAGCTGACCGACTGTCATTTTTTGTCAAACAAGTTAGTGTGGTTTCTAACTGACCTTTCTTGACCTTGAGGCTGTTAACGGCAGGATCGGAGGAGGTTCTCTGGGAAGAGACGAGAGCCCTCCCCTCCGCCGTGGCCTCCTCTCTCTGTCTTTCTCTCTCCCTTGCTCTCTCCAGGGCCTCTTCCTCGTGACATCTCTCAGAGTCAAACATGTTCCGCCACTAAAGAGTGTAGACAACACTTGTTTTAATGTCACGATACATTTGAGGCCCAAGGTACACGTACGTCAGCTGTATACACCATTAAGTGTACCAGAATCTAACTGGAGTCTGAGAGTTAAATCAATAACACACGTCACATAATATGCAAGAGAATTGAACACACAAACGAAACATCACTAACATAAAGAAAGGCAAGTAAGAAAAAGGCAGGGACCCAATGCTTACTCCCATGGTATGCCATGTCCCAGTGAACTCAGCTGCTAGTGCAGTGGGTGTGTGAAGCAGTAACTCACATGTTTACAAAGTAATTCGATGACTGTGAAGGTGTGACTCATTGCAGCCAGGTATTCCTCACTACCAGCTGGGAGCATCAGTGTTGGTCCAAACACCATCGCCACATTCCTCAGCACCATCTGCAACATGGAATAAAAAAAACATACAGTATAGGGCAGTCTGAAAAATTGAGATTCTTTAACATGCACAAAAAAAAAGCCAGCTATTACATCTGTCCAGACCTTAAAGAAAAAAAGGAAAAAATGGCCAGCCCTCCATCTCCCCAGACAGACATCTATGGATGCTGTGTAGTGCCGAATTACTTGTGCAAAAAGTTTTTAAAAAAACTTGGGCCAGCCCCATCTCTCCAGACAGACGTCTACGGACGCAGTGCTATGCCGAACTATACGCTGCCCTTTGAGATGTAAGTGGTTCAGTGGTAGACTTGTGGGTAAGGGGAGGAACCAGAGCTGTTCCCAGCCAATGCTCTGGACCACCTGACATTTTAGTGCGGGATCGGGATTCGAACCCCGCACCTATGGTGTCAGTCCCCACGTCTCTAACCACCTAGCCACTCAGGCTGGCCTGGAGAGGTAATGAAAAAACGTTCCTCTTACATCGACACTCATATTACATCATTGTTAAAAAAACACCCGCTGTACCGGGATCGAACCGTTGAACCAATGTGTGGGGTCTTATCCACCAGACCACACCCAATAGTTGAGAGAGGGAGGTACAATACTGTGTTACTAGAGGAACGCAACACATCTTTGGCGAGCGACATCATTAATATTTACATGTTGGGCCCCTATGCTGATAGCCCCATACCTTGTTCTGATCGGAGTGTCTGGCCACCTTGTTGAGATGGGCAGTCAGATGGCGGAGAGTGTGGTAGTGGGAAGTTGGGAGATGGAAGACGAGTCCGCGCAGCCTTGTCACCTGCTCACTTTCCCTCTGACCCTCCATCACTACACCCAGGAACTCCTTGAATCGGTCACCTAGGCAACGGGGAATTTGACCACACCCCTTGACACAAAGCCAGGCCCACTCACTGGGTATAAGTGGATCTTGGAGGTCTTGGAAGAACTTCTTGAGGAGGGAGCCTATGGTGTGTATGTCTCCATAGTCTTCACACTCAAACTGTCCCTTGTCAATGTCTGTCACCATGCTCTTGATTATGCTGCTCATTCCTGGTTTCCTGCATAGTAAAGTGCTCACATCAAGTGAACTCTCCTATTGCAACTTTGAAATAATGGTGTTTACGAGTGAACTCTCCTATTGTAATAATGGTGTTTATGAAGTAGTGTTAAGAGAGGGAGAGAGAGAGAGAGAGAGGACACACCTCAACCACAACATGAGAGGAAAAGAGAAGAGAGAGAGAGGACACACCTCAACCACAACAGGAGAGGAAAAGAGAAGAGAGAGAGAGAGAGAGAGAGGAGGGCACACCTCAACCACAACATGAGAGGGAGAGAGAGAGAGAGAGAGAGGACACACCTCAACCACAACATGAGAGGAAAAGAGAAGAGAGAGAGAGAGAGGACACCCTCAACATAAACATGAGAGGAAAAGAGAAGAGAGAGAGAGAGAGAGAGAGAGAGAGGAGGGCACACCTCAACCACAACATGAGAGGAGAGAGAGAGAGAGAGAGAGAGGGCACACCTCAACCACAACATGAGAGGGAGAGAGAGAGAGAGAGAGGGCACACCTCAACCATAACATGAGAGGAAAAGAGAAGAGAGAGAGAGAGAGCACCCACCTGTAGAGACCCTCCACATCCAGACCATGTTCCTCCACTTCTCTCACACACATCTCTACCACCAGGGGAACATTCTAGACCATGGAGAGAGGAGGGTACACTGAAACAAGAGTTATGAGTTCCTACATATTTCTAACTACTCATTCCATTGTCTTTACAGCTCAAAGACTAATGTACTTAGGCCCAACAAATAGGGAACAGCGGAAGGAAATCAGGAGAAACAGTGGAAGTAGTGGTGTGAGGTATAACCACAGACCTTGTTCTCAGAGGACATTGGACAGTCTCCCAGAAACTGTCCAAATGATGGCTGAAGACACACTCCCTTTTTACCTCCCTTTAGAGCATTCTTTAGTCCTTTCACCAGTGCTGCAGTGGGCATTACATCATCAATTAACATAATGACATCATCCCCATCAACACTGCACTACACCATATGGGTGTTGTTTTCACCCCTAGTGACCTCAGTAAGATCAAAGAAAGGTGGGGTTGCTAGGCAACACACATTAATATGGCTTCCCAGGAGATGCTCACTTTTCTTCCGGCTGGTTCTCTGGTGGGTGGGGCCAGTGGGGAGGGGGGAGGAGCCACGGCGAGCACTGCGAGGAGAGCCAGGGGTGAGAAAATGTGTCGGCTTTGGGGCAGCTTGTTCCACCATCTTCCCTCCTCCATTCAACCTATTGTACATAATGATGTGGGATTTGCTTCGTTACAAGGCAGAGATTGAAAAAAAACTGTGCATGCAGGAAATAGTTTAGCATGTGGCACGTGTTAGGACTTCCTATTATATGTATGCAGTGGCAAATTATAGATGAAGGTTACATACACACAGGCATTGCTGCTGCACATTCTCCACCATGGTATATACATATACACCATGAAAGAACATCCTTCAAAACTCAAATTCAGACAGACAGAGGACAGATAGAGAAGGTCCACAGAGAGAGTGAGGTACAAATGTAGTTGAGAAGTTACTGACTTGTGAATGGTGGTGACCCAGAGGAGCATGTTCTGAGAGCTTTCACACTGCAGCAGGTATTCAGCCCCTGTCTGCTGGTGGCCGCACGTCACTCTGAACACATTCCTCTTCTTGATGTAGCCATGGGTGAGGTCTGCTCTGCCAGGGACCACCTCCAATGGCGGCTCCTCGCACGGCTTGTTCTGCACAGAGTTGAGTGGTCATTACATACAGTGAAACCCCTGAACGAGGGACACCTTTACTCAGAGATGTCCCTTTATGAGTATGGGGCAGAACCACATGGTGAAATCTTTAAGGTACATTTTGGACGTGTAGTGTCCAAACTTATTGTGCCTAAAACCATTATGATTAAGCCAAGAGGCGGAAAAAAAGCAATCGGAAAAAAGCCGGGAATATAACTCGAAATGAAGTGTATCCCTTGTATATTTGGGAGAAGGGAAGTGACTTACTGCGTCGGCATCTTTCCTGTCTTTGTAGAAGACCATGTGACTCCCGACCAGGACGGTGTAGAAGGCCTTCCAGGAGCGACCTGCACTCTTCTTCCCCTGACCATCACTGATCTGCTTCTTGTACAATGTTCCCTGCACACGGGACCTGGGGTTTCCATGGAAATGATTGTAGTCACACGAGCAAGCAACAAGATGTCATTTCTCCACAACATCATCATTTCCTACATGTCTAAGAGTAGTTGGCATGAGCAAAAGCAACCCACCAGACTTATCTGAATTGTGTGTCATTCTCTATGATTATGTTTGTACATGGACGACACTGCTTATAGCTTCACATCGTCCTAACTATATATGTGTCAATGTGCTGCAATTTCGCACACACATTCACTTGCCATTGGTTTAGCATTGTGGAGTGTATGTAGTGAGAAGGAACAAGGCAGCCAAGCAGTCTGGCTACGAGAGGTACAAGATGCAGCTGTTTCAGCTACAAGTTCTATACATGCACATGTTTCCATGTCTGCTCCACTGTCTCCCCCCCTAGCTGTGGTGGCTGATCTGACAGTACAGGTACCTCAGCACACAACACAGTGAGTGAGGTAGCTGCTAGCTGAGCTCACATTACTGACTGCAGACCTATCCTCGAAGTGAGAGTGTCTGCGGCCCATGAATGGAGGAGGGAACATTCCAATTGCGTGACCTCTGACCCCCAGATCTCCTCCCTCTGTCTCCATACTTAGAGCACCACGGACTGGCACTGGCTGCACACTGGACATACAATGATAGGCAAACACACACACACCACACACGGTGAAAAAAGCGAAATGTATCATAGAGAACTTCAGCTGACAACTTAGAAAGCATCTCTCCTGCTTCTTAGTAAAACAAGTAATGTGTGTTGTAAGTATACTTGGTTGACTAGGATATTGCATTCTCTATGAATTGTATCTACTAACACTAGTCAGAAAACCTTTTTTGCCCAAACGTTTCGACTGTGTGTTTATAATTATAGTAAAATTGCAGAATGCTCACAACCCCCCCATCTCTGAACAGTAGTGAATGATATTATATAACCTGAGAGAGGAGGAGCCACCCTGACTGGCGGCAACGGCCTCGTCAATACTCCTCTCCCTCACTGGCTCCACCCCGTACGGACTCTGGGCCGACGTCGATTTCATGATGGGCAGTCTACGACTCGTCGGCCCTAGCAACAGCTGATGTACCTGGGGTCACAGATACAGGGGAAGAGAGATGGAAACTGGTATATAGTAGAAGAGAACATCTCTAATATAAAGATTCTTTTTAGGCATTATCAATCCACACACAATAATGTTTATACATATGAGTTGTAAACTAACATGATCGTGGTGGGCGGAGCCAAATCTAGCAGCTCTGGGATCAAGGGTCACGGACTGGTATCTCCGTGGCGACATCGGAGGACTGGTCTCTCCATGTCGGAGGGTGTGGCTTCCCATCCTCCCTCCCTCCCCACTCTCCCTCCTCACCCTCTCCCCATATCCCATTGGCTCCTGTAGTCACAGAACTTGTTAATGATTGTAGGGGTGTGGCAATGGGTGTGGCTTACCTCTGAGGCGACCATGATAGTGGGTGTGGTCACCACAGTGTCAGGTGACTGTCCTTCCTCCTCTCTCTCACTCTGATGACAACATACATGTATGTTGTCAGCTACATGCAATACAATGTAGGTCTATTCAAGACTTACACAGCAGCCGTAGATCTATTTGCATGCACAAGCAATCGCTGGTGCTTATGGGAAATAAACTCCATTTAAATACACATAACTGTTAGTATTGTCCGTTTATACTAACCTAAAGGTTGTATACGTAAGTGGTGAGCCAAACAGTAGAATGTACATGTATTACCTGTTGTAGAGGAGGAGATATGGAGTGAGCTGTTCCAGACTCAGAATGGAATCTTTCCTCTCTCCCTCTCCCCCTCTCAACCTCCCCTGTCTCCACTGGCTGGGACAAGTTCCTCCGCAGAATCTCAGCTGCAGAAGACGGATCACATGAGGTCACATGACTGTCTTGTGACCCACCAGTCTTGGCGGCAGCGTCGCTGTCCCCGGAAGGCCGTGATCTGCTGGGTCTCTGACTGGAGTAGGAGCGAGTGGCTTTCCTAGGCCTCTCTCTCGGTGGAGGCAGGGAGGGGACACTGTCTCCTGCCTACAATACACACACACACACACAAAACAATTTCATTTGCTGGTTATTAAAAATTTGGCAGCTCAGTATAATATAAATTTCGTATAAGGATGTTTTGAGGCAAAAATCACCAATTCAAGTTTTTCTATTGTTTGTCAACATTGTTTACAGTAACTTCAAATGGATCATGATTATTTTGAAGTTGTCGTGTAATGGAATCAAAATTTCAAAATATGCCTGCTTGGCACAATGTATGTTTACCACTATGGGCTACACTAACACTAATGTTGTAGTCGGTTCCAATACTCAGTACCTGGTTTTCACGTTAAAAGCTACCAGATACTCCTTACCCTTGTGGGTGGGGCACTAGCTGGGCATAGAGAAGACTGACTGTACCTCATAGCTGGTAGGAGGAGTCTTGGCAGTGGGTGTGATGTTCTTGTCGGCATGGTGATGGTGCTCCTGCTCAGAATGTCGTCTGGTGGCCTCGCCCCCTGCTGACTGGCTCCGAGCCGATTGGCCCACCATGTCGTCACTCTGGATTCTTCGCATTCCTCGAGGGGGCGGGGCAGTCGTAGACAAACTGACCACACCCCCGGAGAGATAAGGAACATGCAAACAAAGATAATGGTGTTTGTTGTTTGTGTTTGAATAGCTTTTTCATGAGGTCCACAATAACGTTGGAAAAGTCTTTTGTATCGCAGCACAGTGTACATATTACAGATGTTGTGTTTATTTTTCGTTTGATTGTGGATTCCATTCTCTCTGTGGGACAACTTACTCACAACACAGTCTTTGGACCAGATTTCACTTTCACAATATTGGCAGTATTAGTGATGGTGCACAGTTCAGAGAGAGGAGGAGAGGAGGAGAGAGAGAGGAAGCCTCACCTAGTCAACATCTCCAGGCTCTTCTTGCTGTGCCGGCCCACCCTGACCACACCCAGATCCTCTGCCCACATGGGCTGGGAGGCGGAGCCCTCGTCTCCGCTGCTCAGCAGCCCCACCCTGTTGACCACACCTGAATCCTGAGAATGAGCTCGGAACACCTTATCCCTGTGAGCTACCGGTTCCTGGACCGGCTGGGACGACGTCTCCAGTCCATCCTGAGGATCCTGGTACCAGGACGGGTCCGCCTCCACACCTTCTTCATACCTCACGTGGCCATTGGCAACAGGTCTCCACGAGGGAGGGTCGTAGGTCGCGTTTTCGTCCAGTCGGTCTAGTTGGCTGTTGGAACCGGTGCCAGAAGACCTGTTGTACCATCCAAATGAGGTCCGCGAGGAGGAGGGGCTTTGGACCATAATGTCGTGGATGGAACAATGGATCAATCTGTCGTCCTGGGGAGAAGAGAGTGTGAGGAAAGGGTTAAATCAGACTGGGAGCGAGTACATAGCAAGTAGAGTATAGTCTGAGCAACAAGTAACGTGAATGGAGAAAAAGAGTAGGTAGTAAAGAGAGTGGGTAGAGGGTGAGGTGGCAAGCAGAAAGGAGTTAAAGTGGGTAGTGGGGAAAGGGTTAATCCCCCCACCTGAGGCAGTTGTTCGTTGGAAGAATTGGAATGTGTGTTGTCGAGAGAGGATCCGGAGCCTTTGAAGTTGTAGAGACCGAGTGGCTGGAGTCTGCTGTCCCCCTCTGTCTCCTCCGGCATGCTGGTCCCACTCCCCACCACCAGGGAGATGTCCCTGACAATTACCTTCTCATCGCCGGACGTGAACTCCCCCACATGACCCTCCGTGTACTGAGGGTAGAGCTGGGAGGACGAGAGGGAGAGGGGGGGAGGGAGGGCAACGTAATCAAGGAAGTTTCCTCCAGTGCTGTAGAACAGTTTAATTTCTGCTGTCTAACAATTACAAATTGAGAGTTTGGCCAAGCCGTGCCAAATGTTTGAACACAGATATTACTAGTGGAGACAGGCTTCATAACGCTCCACGCTCCATGGTGTGTGGTATGTAATAACAGATATTGCTGGCCTACACCCTCAATACATTGAGACACATTCTGTTTCTACGCCAGTAGTAAACATTACTGGGGTATCACAACAAATAATAGTGACTCATTTCGCTTTAATTGCATCACTGTAAATACATCTGTGTAACTTAACAATGATTTGGCATTTTTCTGCTTCAACATAAATTTACTAGCTACTATGAGATGTTAATGTATGTTGGTGTACCAGGGGTTCCTTATTATGAGTTATCAAACTAGGTTGGCAGGAGGGTTGGTAACAAGGCAGTTGGCATCGTGGGCTAGTTAATGAGGGGGAGTGGCAACCACAGGACGCCACGGCAACCAGTTAGAATGCTACCCAGCAGGTAGAGTGACTTACAAACTGGAGATCATCGTTATCTTTTGGGAGAACCATCAGAGAGATTTCACTGCCACTGCGCAAGGAGAGAGGGAACATAAATGATCATAATTTATCCACTGCACTCTTCCTACTGTGAAGTACTATTATAGCACAAAAACATGATATTATTGGCGAATGAATGTCAGTGCAGAATTACTGTATGTAGCTATCATAGCCAAAGTGCACTCTGAAATGTATAGGCCAATATTACGTCCATTTTTGAACAAAGTTAGAATAGTCGTTCACTAGACTGAGAGAGAGAGTAAACTGACCATTGTGCCAACAGATCTTCAATTTCAGAGAAATTGCTACGAATGATGCTCTCTCCATTTATCATGTGGACTGTGTCGCCCTGCTGAAGCCCCGCCCCCTGCCCCGCCCCCTCCAATTGGTGGATAAATGTAGTGGACAAACTGCACCGACCGCTACCGGTAAGGAGAGGGGAGATGGTCAAATGTTGAAAAGAGTACCGCACTTAAGAGTATAAGTCACACTTTCAATGTACAAAATGGGGTGCCTGATGTGTTGGACAGTGATTAATGCAGCAGCACGTGTGCCAGTACATGTGGCTCTAGTGCTGGCGAGAAGGCAGATTATCAGCTACAAAATTGGTCGAATTTGTTGAAAAGAACATCAATACACACATTGGTGTTGCGTGCAGGCGTGGAATCACTGATACTCACTCATCAGTGCGACTAACATTGTACAAAACTCTGAAGTGATACACAATTCTCACATGTCAATGGTGGAAGTAGAGGATTGCTGGCTGTTCTGAGACCCAAACTCAGTCGGACTGTCTCCTTGCTGTGGGGACAGAGATAGGGGTAATTAACTGGTCGTCAGCACAGGGGCTGACTCACTCCAGAGATTGGCTGAATACTGAAATGTCTCAGAGTCACTCCAAACAGTCCACTTGAGGAGTCGGCCGCGAGTCGCAGGCTCTGGTACTTGGCGTCGGCCAGAGAGAGCTCCGCTAGCGACGGGATGGTCTCCTCGAGATCAGAGAGACCTTCTGTGTACAGGTCAAAGGCTGACCCACTCTCATAGGTCTGCAGACAGTGGAGAGAGGGAGTGAAGAACCTGGACCTGTACCCTTGACTGAATGTGTATGTATGTTTACAGTGTATGGGCGACGTGTGTTCGTAGCTTTCCTAGTTTATATATTTGTCTTACTTCCCCCATTGGTTTATCCTCATCATGAAATGGTATCAAATCAGGGAGGGAGGGAGGGAGGGAGGGAGGGAGGGGGAGAGGAGGAAGTGGGAGTAGGAATGGTTTGATAATCAGAAAACAGAGCCCACTTGAATGCACTTGACACAGCTATAGTTTTACAACACGTAGACCTTACACCAGAGAAGATAGTAGTATGGAGTGTGGCTGGCTTTGCTATGTGAAGCATGGGCTCTCCTACACACACACAAACTGTATGCACCTACCATACAAGACACCAGCTAATAATGTCAGCCTCACCCACTATATATTCCTCCTCTCTCATTCCCTCCCTAACATCCCCACACTGTGGACTAGTGTCAATGGACTGATGCCTGAAGACTCGAGAGGCTGTATTCTGCCTGGGACCGAATCACAACCTCATCTAAACAATGACATCATCATCAACAAGGATGTGCCAACACAACCACTAGTAAAATCTCTCCCCTGCCTCCCCACCACCACACACACACTCACACACAAACATTACTACACCCACACTCTCATTCCTTTTTAAGTCCAGGTCAGCTGAACCATACCAGTCGTGAAAACCTCGGCCTAAAATGGTAGTCATAGCAACAGTATAAAGCATTCCAGGTCAGACCTAATGCCAGTCATTACAGACCAAGTTTAGGTCTTTGACCATTCTGGGAGGACGCCTTACCAGCTGAGGTAGAGAGCGAGGCAGAGAAAGAAAGAGAGAAAGAAAGGTAGGAGAGACAGAGGTTGTTGGGGGACATGTGTAGGAGATAAAGGGAAGATTGTCGGGGAATGAGAAAAGTTGGAGTGCTGGTTATTAGCAGAGACAAGGAAACCAACTTATCAACATGACCAGCAGACAGCAGGGACAAGTTGAGACACACACACACACACTCCAGGCCACGGGAGGTGAAGCACAGTCAGCAGATATGAGCAGCTGAAAGGCTATCTATCTCCCCTGGTTGGCTGCCTCTCTCAACCCACGAGGGAGACTCACTCTGTCTCTGTCTTCCTCCTCCCCCGCCTCCCCAGCCGTCTTCTCCACCGTCAGATACCAGTGCGGAGGGAAAGTGGACAGATAGCTCGGGTCACGGAAACTCTCTTTCGTCAGGATGCGGCTGGTCTCTGCCTCGTGCAGAGAGAAATCGGATTCCACGGGGATGTTGAAGACGTGTCGCACGATGTGGCAAAGCTCCAGCTCCGCCTGGTCAACGTCAACATCACTCAATTCCAGACTAGGCCGCACCACCAGAGGAATTCGCTTCTCTTTTCCCGCGTAGCTGACCGTAATTCTCAGCGAGTCGTCCGCCATCTCTCCGTGGTCAGCTTGGCCTGACCAGCGCGGCAAGTTACGGTGATACACACAATCTCCACTGGTCAAGATGATCTCTCGCTCTATCCTCCGCCACCCGAAGACCAAACTATGCAAACAAGGGGGGGCGGGGACGTAATTATCGTCATATCGCGCATGCGCGAAAAGTGAACGGTTCGAATAATCGCGCATGCGAAAGAAGGCAATATTAGGTTCGGAGACGATAACTACAGTCTCTACACACAACATTGGGCACAGGAAGAAAGTAGCATTGATCCAGGAGTCTGGCCACAGGGCAGGAAGGTCTGCCAGTGTCAGGGGAATTATTCCTGTTCCACAGAGTGGCACATAGCTCTGGCTCAGTGGTGTAGACCGAGATTGGAGGGGCGGTGTCCGCAGTGTTGCTAGGCAGTGGTGGGCGTGGTCTTGTGAAGGTGGGTGGTGAGTGCAACAAGTGAGGTGGGGATTCTGGTGCAGGAGGTCCCTGCATTGTCAGAGATACAGATGTTTAGTTCCAGGAAGACTAGAGTGTTGGTAGAAAACATTACAAAATTCTGCCACAATAAATGTTTCCAGGCAAACATATACCTCCTCATCTTCCTCTTCAACACATTCCAGTTGAGACTCCAGCTTTACTTTAACCCCATCCAACCCAGGGTCCCTGGTCTCCGGGCAACGAGACACAGTTCTTATCGAGGACACTGTTGTCTGTACTAGTCTCTGGAGCATCTCAGGGAACTGTCCAGTTTTAGCCCCATGGGCTGCCCCTTGCTTAACGACTGATGACGATTGTAGCAGTCGCTGCAGGGCCTGAGATATGGGAGGTAGTGGGGTCAGAGGTGAAAATAAACAATCTGCACGCACTCTTTCTGTTTTGCTGTACACTGATAGACGGATCTGTTGCCGTGGAGAGAAAGGTAGAGCCGGGGGGAGCCCCAGTACTAGTGGACCACTTATTTCGTCAAAACACTAAAGTAAAGAGAGAGGGGAATGGGGGAGCATATTTTACATGGTATTGAGAAAGACGTGAAAGACACAGTCTCTTGATCTAAAATTGAAAAAAGTAAAGATAACACACCACATCTGGAGGAGGCTGACTGGTCTCTTTATATTCCACCTCCACTGTTCCCTCTCTCTTCCTCTCCTTCTTCTCCTGTTCCACTGGCTGTGTGGTGTTCCTCTTACCGGAAGATGGCGTGAGGTAAAATGTCTTGAACTGCAGTGCAGATATCCACCCTGTTTCTCCTAAAAACCAACTTGCAAACATACCTCTGTCAAAACCTTTTTCTCCTTTGCCTATATAGTATTGCATGGAACAGTACCAGAACGTCGGGAGGGGAAGGCTTACCTTTGTTATTTTCTCCTGAAACGACTTGTGGAGTCTGGCAAAGTCTGGTACAGGCTTTACTTTGGAAGGAGTGTGTGAGACACGAGTGCGAGGAGGAGGAGAAGGTAGAGAGAGAGGAGGAGGAGGAGAAGGTAGAGAGAGAGGAGGAGGAGGAGGAGGAAGAGGAGGAGGAGAAGGTAGAGAGAGAGGAGGAGGAGGAGGAGGAAGGAGGAGGAGGAGGAAGAGAAGGCTGGGAAACAGAGTTGTGAGGTTGGAGAGGCTTGCTCCGAGCTCTACTGACTGGTCGAGGGATGCGGCTGTAGATGCTCATCCTCACGTTCCATTCTCGCAGACTCTGGCAGATGGCTTACCTTGGTTTGGGCCTGTTCCTCTGCCCTACCTTGTTCTCCTTGTCTGCCATTTCCCCCGTCACTGGAGGTGCAGCACCGTTTACCACGGCAAGGGTGAAACTACGTTGCTATACGTACCTGCCCTGCGCTGGATCATCTCCCTAAGAGCTTCCAGGAGTCACTAAAAAGCAAGGCACGTCCACACAGCAACAAAAAAACCTTCAACGCCGAGCGGGGGTTGATTTTTCCGCATTCAAATTTCCCACCGTTTCAAATTTTTTTAATACGTACCGAAATTCGTTAAATTAGACACAAACTACAGAAAATATGAGATGAACAGCTGTAATTGGATATGTCGAGAGGAATGGAGGGAAAGAGGGAGAAAAAAGAAAAAAAGGAAAGAGAGAGAAGGGGGTGGACTAGTCATTTGCTGCTAATCTTCGACCGATAGCTCCAAAAGTGATGCAGCCAGAGAAGTAGACACACCAGAGACGAGAGTACAGGTATCCATGGTCCAGAGAGCTGTAGATAATGGAGACAGAGGTTGAGTGCAGTAACATGAGAGAGCCAGTCTCACGTGAGGATTGAGAAATGGAGCAGGAAATGAGTGAAGGCTGCGGATATCATGGTGAAGAGGAGAGAGAGGGCAAGGCCAGGTCCAGATCTGTCAAACAACCACCAAATACCAGCAGACAGAGCTGCTAGTGTGGCCCCCAGCTCAGCGTAGCCTGTGAAATCTATCTTCTGTTGGCTTTAGTCAAGAACAAACCCCAGACCACTTTGTATGGGTAATGTGTAAGCAGAACTCTGTGTACAGAGCAAGACAGTGGCCATCTTTGATGTTGGCAGTTTTAAAATTTTGATGCTCTGTGTAAATAAAGGTGTAGGGATGGGGTTGTGTGTAGGTGTCTTCTTGTTGCCCTCCATTTCTATATCTCCCTTCCTTTCAGATTTTTATATACTAGCAGTGTGGTAATCATTGGTATGTGAAGTGAGATTACTATCTACTGATCTGACCCTTGCACCAGAGAGCAAAAATTAGATTGAGAAATGCACAGTCCTGTGTAATTTGCTTCAGTGCACAAAATCATAGACAGTGGCTAGACCTCTATCTATGCCAGGAAGTAGACTGATAAACAAAAGTAAGAGTGGATACAGTGGTTGCCTGGTAGATACCAACAAAGACGGCCAGACATCTCATGACGGTCGAGCCGTCCGGAGCCTTGCCTTCCCGCAGAGCCAGCGGGTACAGCAGACCTACCACAGTGGCCGCTGCAGCCAGGAGAGGAACCGCCAGCCACGTCCTCTCCACCACCTCTCTCCTGTGAACCTGTAGGAGGTTCAGAGCGAGCACCAGAGCCGTCCCTGGCCACAGGGAGAGAAAGAGGTCGAGAAACTGCCGCACGGAGGGAAGTCGACTCACCTGCAGAGAACAGTACGGCTGCTCTGAATGCCAGCATCATCTCTATTGCCGCTACCCCGAAAGAGACGCCCAACTTTCACGGCCACAGATCTTTTGTTTATGTCACACGACACTGAAGAGAGATCAGCCCACCACACATTGGACCGCGAGGGAAAACCCAACTATGTGAAGCAATTGCGCATGCGCGAAAATGACACGAGAAGCTATGAAGAAGCAATGGGAAAGCATTCCTGTAGTTTCCAAGGAGATGAACATGGAGCTGACCCTTTCTTCAGGTCAGGCCTTCCGTTGGGTGCAGTTGGAGGAAGAGGAGGAGAAAGTGTGGGCTGGTACCGTTGGAGAAAAGTGAGGAGTGACCTAATGCAATATGTTCTCACTACTTGAGGTCGGGTGTGCAGGTTGTTTATCCTGCGTCACCATGACGATGAGCTCCAATACCGGGTGGCCACGCCCACCTCTGATCCCAGTGAGGACAGACAGACACTAGTGGACTATTTCAGACTTGACGTTGACCTGCCATCTCTCTACCAACAGTCAGTGACAACCACATGATGCATACCAACCACTCAGCTCATAATCAAGTACGAAACAAGCATGAAGACTCATCTCCAGCCTCGCCTTATTAATTCCTCAGACCGAAGTAATTAGGGGTACTTTAGCTGCCAAATGTAACAAAACTCCTCCTTTTTAACGGAACCTTTGTCTGTTCACTGGTTCTTTCCAGGTGGTCTCGAGATGACAACTTCAGAAAGAAGGCTTCGTGTTGCCAGGGGATACGGTTGCTACAGCAACCACCACTTGAGGCTCTCCTGGCGTTCATCTGTTCGTCCAACAACCACATCTCACGTATCTCCGCCATGGTCCTCAGGTAGACGGAACAGTTCCTGGGTAGATGTTTGGGTGGGAACCTCTGAGGATGATTTGCCAATGCTGATGTGTGACATTCTAGAAATGGTGACATATTAGTATGCTTGCTAGCTTGTTACACTTGTCATCACTTTGATGTGTCATGGTATACAATTACTGATTTATTTCTGTGAGGTATGTATCCCCAGACTATGTGAAAGGTATGGGAGGTTTCTGGGCAGAATTGGAGACAGAGATTTCCACTCATTCCCCACCATTACGTCACTGGTGGGTGTGGTCAAGGAAGCAGTTCTGAGGGATTTGGGGTTTGGCTACCGAGCGAGGTCAGTTCAACAATGATGTCATTATTAATTCCAGGTCTGCAGATAGTGGAGAGAGGGAGACAGCTAAAGTACCCAGAACCAGGCAACAATATAGGGATTGTGTGGTGGGATTGGGGGGTGTTCATTAACCATGCTTCATGTATCTCATCCCAATCATGTCTCCCTTCCTTTTTATTCCATCCCCAAATGCCTCTTTGCAGGATATACTATTAACCCCTTGATCACTAGGTATGTGAGGGAGAGTGTGGAAGAGGTGGGGAGGAGAGGGGGAGAGACGTGGTTGGAGTTGCTACGGCAACAGCCCTACGAGGATGCAAAGGCAGAACTACAGCAACTACCGGGAGTTGGGTCAAAGGTCAGCCAGCCACCCCAGGGCCAGGGAGTGTTAAATTTCCTCAACTTTTTTGTTTGAGTATGTGTACCAAGATTTTTCCAAGTGCATGCTTTCAGTGTTGGCACCAGAATTCAATGAGTGATGTACAGTGGACCCTCTGAATAAGGGACACTTGGTTCTGCCCCATACTAATACTGTTAGTGTATCTCCTGGTAAAGACGCATCGATCTGAATAATTGACACTTTTTCAATGTTCCAAGCTGTCTGTTATTCACACCAGGTAGCAGACTGTATGTGTCTAATGGGACTGGGTCATCTCGGAGCTGTGCCTGTGGATGTCCATATGTGGCGACTGGTTCAGAGGGATTACAGAGTGGGCGGAGGATCGTCCTCTCTCACTCCTGCCGTCTACTGTAGAGTTGGTGAGTGACTGTTACACCACTGGTGACTGGTAATCCTATAGTGTGGAACCCCCTCTGAAAAAAATAGACATTTTGTTTCTCAAAAGATGGAAACCCTTACCTCACTAGACCATTGTACGTGTCATAGCAACACACACTTCGTAGGGCTACACTTTACATGCATGTGTATATACTGTTGACTGGAGAATTTAGTAACCAAAACTCCGAGTTCGATTCCTGGTGTCACTGTTTTCCCCCCTCTTTTGCCCATTTATAATCCACCCCTGCATGGTATACAGCCAATTTGTTTTTTTAAAATTGACCTCCAGCATAATTTGTTCAGGAGATAAATTCCGTGAGGTCTTTGGAGAGACGGCAGGCTGGGCACAGGCTGTGAGTGTTGACTCCTCACATCAACTGGAGTCTGATATTAGCTGCTCTGTTGATTGCAGGTACTGTTCACAGCTGAACTTCAGATGCAGAAGCTAGGCACCCAGACAGGGGAGAGGCGAGCAGACAAAAAGACTGCTGGGCACAAGATGCCAAGGAAAGTAAGGATGCCATTGAGCCAAGATGAATGTCAGGACAAAAGAAAGACAAAGAGACTGAAACTTTGATCATTCAATCACGTCTCTCTTACGCATGTAACAATCATTACTGGTGTATGTGTCAGTATTCAGCAGATTGATTATGGATGTCATAAAGAGCAGAGCAAACTGGAGGTGGCAGACTGCATTGAGCAACACACTGAATCAAGCATTTTGTAGCACCATTATTATTGTTCTGGTGGTCATTATTATTATTATAGCTACGTCTTGTTGAGGGCAGTGAGGAAGAGGGAGAGAGAAGGAGAGGCCTTCTGTCGATGTCTCTGGGTCTGCAGTCGACTGCTGGTCTCCAGAAAGCTCTTCAGAGTTCCTGACAGACTGGTGCTGCACAATAAATCAGGAGAGAAAGGGATTTATCTTAAAGATGTGAGGTAGAGAAAGGACACACCTCTTCCTCCGTCTAGCAGGTTTTGGAGTCTTTGCAACTGAAACTGCTGACGTCAGCATTCCTCCATGAACTGCTGTAACGTATGACTTTCCACACCGACATTTCACCAGCTGCATAATTATACACCGACATGACAACTCACTTCATCTAACTTTCTTCTCTCTTATAAGATGTCTTTTTACCGTGTATGATCTGGCCCGAGGGGCAGGTGCACCCAACCACATGATGTCATTCTTTCTTCTCAATTTCTTCAATCTCTTCTTTGACACAGTTCTGAGTCTTACAGATGAGGAGGAAGGGAAGGAGGAGGAGGAAGGGGGGGAGGAGGAGGAAGGGAGGGAGGAGGAGGAAGGGAGAGAGGAGGGGTGTAGGAGTGCACCACAGCCTGGACATAGTCGATCTGTAACTGGAGCTGAAACAGAGAATAAAATTTATGACGCGCACACCCCTCACTTGGTCCAGCTAGATCAAGCAGCTTGCACCTGTGGAAACGATAGTTGACGGTATGTGATGTAATGATGCTTCACTAACCCCCAAAAGGATGCTACCTCTGGGCAGATGTGAGAATAGTGATGACTGACACGCCACAGGTAGTCTATACGGCTACACCGCTCCTTCTCCCTTGCAGCCATGCACACATGCCACACCCTCTCGTGCTGCTGCACCACTAAAGTGCAAACCCTCGGCGAACTGCGCATGTGCGGTACCGCTAATTGATGGGCGGGCTGAGCCTATTATATTAGTATACTCGTGATCTCCCGCTCGCTAGTAGCATGCACGCGGAGAGTCTGACACGGGCTAGCTACAGTAGTAGATAGCATGCGGGAGTCGATACACGCCCTTCGTTGTGGCTTCATGTGCCTCCGAGGTACACAGAGCAAGCGGATCAGGTCGAGGTAAGCCAGTGCTAATTAGCAATTGGCTTGTTCACTTAGTTTTCACGCCATAACTTCTGAACGCGGCACTTTTACGAAAATCGCCTGTTTTAAAATAAAGCCAGTGTAGCTCTGAACCCGCTGGTGTCGCTATTTTACCTGTTTGTTGCGCGTGGTGGCAGAAATCGTGGTAACAGACGGACAGTACAGACAGACCAAGTAAACTCTCGATGCGCATGCGCGCCGCCGAGGGTTAATTATTCCAAATGGAGCGCAGTGTCGGTGACTGAGCTAGTTTGTCCAAATAAACAAAAGCTAAACAGAGTCAACAGCTGAGCTCGAGCTCTCCAGAGGCCGCCAGAGGCCCCGCTGCAGAGTGGTGAGAATGGATAAGTCACGGTTCAGAGAGGACACGGACGATTCTGACGAAAGTCGCGACGTCCTCTAGCAGAGACCGTCCGTGCCAGACTCTCCCTCTTCCTGCCGTCCCAGCGTGCCACTCCGTCTAGGATCATGGTCACACGTGCCTCTGCAGCTCCGGAGACAGGGCTGCTGATTGAGGTCGCGGTGGGTGTGGAGTGTCCCACATGCAGTAGGGCCAGGCAGGGAACTTAATGAGCTAGAAGGTGACTGACTACCTCCTTTATATCTTACGTGCAGTAGGACAGCAGACTGCCACGAGGTAGAGGGGAGAAAAGGAGTCCTTTATTCGGCCACAGTTTGTAGAGAGTTGTTTCAGTAATCGTATTTGAATAACCTTTTTTGTGTGGTGAGGCCGTCTTTTAGTGTATACACTAGTCGATAGTATGCATAACACATTTGTCAGGTACTTGTGTTGATCTTTTCGTTGTTCTGTTGAACTGCGACGAAAGTGTGGTTTGTAGTTGTGCATGTCAGAACGAGCAGCTAGTTGCCGCTTATGCCGCATACTCCGACAAGAGATGACGCGCACGCAGAGATGGTGAGTGCCCATGATTGTCACTGATCCACGCCGCGAGACTCTTTTGTGTGTGTGGTGTAGGTGTGTGTATGTGTCCGATAGATCTGGTGTACTCTGCTGTTGTGTGTCGTAGGTGTTCTATATTGGCCTTTCATATTGTCGAGCGGCCTGTCCATCCGCTACCTTCGCTCCTGGCCATGAACTCCAGCACAGAATGGAGCCCGCGTCCCCACACGCTCTGGTGTCTCTAGCTCGATGAGTGAGGGGAAATTCCTCTCCGCTCCCTGGCCAAACTAATCCTCTATTCTCTTCACACTAGACTCGTGTGCCGGATAACACGAGACAACCCTTCTTTCGTCTTGAGGTGCAGTGGCTGAACATATCTCTTGTCAACAGTCAAACTCAGTCGGGTCTGTATTTCTGGACAAACAGACTGGCACTTTTCCATTGGACCACACAGGACGCACCCGTTATACTATATACATCCCAGTTCAGTTTTGTTTCAAGCAGTCTCTAATGTGGTGTGTACAATACAGACTACGGTTGAGCAGAGTTCTACATTCACTGATGATGTGGCTTCCAAGTTAGGTGAGTTACAAGTGTGGGAGAATTATACAAATATACCCCTGGACTTGTTGATGTGGTAAGAAAGGGGGATTACCTTTTTGTTTCCCAAAACTTAATGTTGCTGAACAGTCATGTCTCTGAAACATATAGGTCGTTATGTACTGGATGTAGACTGGCAGCAGCTGCCTGTCCATGTTGCGCCATGTGAGTGACCACAGACTCCCCAAGTCTTCGAATCATAACTCTGTCTCTTTCCCTCCACACTATAGGGGAGAGATGATTACCTGTTCTCGTCACACACAGCAGAGATCGTCACCGTCAAACACTCCGTTCTTTGTTGCATGTGAATGTCGCATACAAACCACCACCAAAAGCACCACCAGCATGGGTTCATGACAAGTATTTATTTAGGTTAACAGCTATACAAATGGAAACACTGCTAACACACTGCCACTGCAGAGTGGGAAGGTAAGAAATGGCGCGCACACAGTGCCTCGTACATCGCCGAGGCAGAGGGATTCACCACTGTGCCTGTTGTCGTCCTCGTC